TGTATTCTACATCGATTATACTACTACTACTTAGTGATAGTAAAATTCGTGTGGGCGGCTTTCTACTTAATTCATTCTACTGTAGCGCATAACCCGCTGAAATATATAGCTAGTATAAAACCTACAATTTCTACCAACTGATGATGTTTTTAAATGTACTACCACACTACTAACCGACTAATCAGTGATACAAAATTGAATAGGTTTATACAGAGGGGATGCAATCTTTTCTCATTTCATTCTTCTCATTACCCCAGCTTTTATTGACCGAAGGCGTGTCATTACTGACCATGGAAGAACATCCAACACACACCAACCACTACGATGATGAAAGCAACACATTTATCAGATATGACAGGCACAATAGTAGATCTCACCAATGCAATACCAAGGCATTCCATGTGAACGTATATATAAATATTGTACTCCCTGAGCGACCAAAATCCATGCCCTAAGCCTGTGCCCTCATTTACCGATTTGGGAGCTCGACAGCTTGGCATCTCTCCGATCGCCGACCGAAAGCTCCGTCGCGGCCATCTTGGTTTGAGTCTTGTCTGCACTTCTCCATCTCCAGCAACCCCCTTCACCAGTTCCTTTCCGCGCGTTTCACACCTCTAATCAAAACCATCCATGCCCTCTGCATCGACTCTAATGACCTAAACCCCTTCGCCAAAAATGGGCACCACCAAACCTCGCCCTTCCGGCCGGGCCTCCGTCGCCAAGGTCCAATCTCTCCCCGACAAGACATTCGTCATCGATAATGGCGCATACATCCTGAAAGCCGGCTATGCGCCGGACTCTGCACCTCCAGAGGACCAATCGAAAGCGCTTGCAGCTTGCACCGAAATTCCAAATGCGATCGTCAAGACCCGTGGCAACAAGATCTACGTCGGCTCTCAGCTGAACACACATGTGACGGACTGGAACGAGTTGATGTTTCGTCGTCCCGTTGAGAAGGGCTACATTGTGAACTGGGAGGCTCAGAAGGAGATTTGGGAGCACTCGTTTTTCGATGAGAAGACCATGCGCAGTAAGGATTTGCGGATTACGGATCCCGAGGACACGACGTTGTTGTTGACGGAGGCGCCGAATGCATTGCCGGCGCTGCAGAAGAATGCAGATGAGATTGTCATGGAGGAGTGGGGGTTTGGAGGGTATCTTAGATGCGTTGGTAAGGATGCTAGGTGGTCGTACGTTGATTGCTTGGAGAAGGTGATTGCTAACAGAGACGCGTATTGCATTTAGGACCATCGATGAACGCTTGGAATGATGTCCAGTCGCTGTTCGGGGATCCTATTGTGCAGGAGGCAAACACAACGGTGTCTCCAAAGGAATGCTTATTGGTGGTCGATTCGGGTTACTCTCACACCACCGTGACACCGATTTACAAAGGACAGCCGCTTCAACGTGCCATTCGCAGACTCGACCTTGGTGGCAAGCATCTTACGAACTACCTGAAGGAAATGGTTTCAGTACGGCAGTACAACATGGTGGACGAGACTTATATCATGAATGAGGTTAAGGAAGCTGTCTGCTTCGTTAGCAACAACTTCGTCGGCGACATGGAACAGACGTGGAAAGGCAACCGGAAACGCGGCCTGCCAGACCCCAGCGAGGGGGTGATGGTGGACTATGTCCTTCCTGATCCCAATGCAGGCAAGAAGGGCTTCATGCGACCGCATGATGCTCTCTTGAACGCCAAGAAAAGGAAAGGAGGTTTGTCGGGGGCCAGCGCGGAAGCACTATCGGAAGACGCTCTGGTCTTGGGCAACGAGCGCTTCGCTGTTCCGGAGATCTTGTTCACTCCCAGCGACATTGGCATGAAGCAGGCTGGCATTCCGGATATTATCATGCAAAGTCTTTCTGTCTTGCCTACCGGACTGCATCCCGCGTTTCTGGCCAACGTTTTGGTCGTCGGTGGCAATGCGCTACTCCCAGGATTTGTGGACAGACTGTAAGTGTGGCCTTCATATGTTTGGCGGACTGGTATCTTGTTGCTAACTGGGTGGCAGGGAGTCGGAATTGCGCCAACTGGCTTCCGCGGAATGCGCTGTCCGGGTGAAATGCCCGCAAGAGTAAGAGCTGCTGCCCTACTTACTGACTACTGTCTCTTCGAACTACGAGCTGATGATCGCAATCTTTCTATTCACAGTCCGATTCGCTCCGCCTGGTTGGGGGCGTCCCGATTTGCTACTAATAAAGACGAACTCCGGAAAGTCGCCATCACCCGGCAAGAGTACCAAGAGCACGGTTCTTCTTGGGCAAGTCGGAAGTTTACTGGTGCTATATAAAGTTCAGCGGGCAATGGCTGTCTTGGTGGAGTTCAGGATTTTGCATTGATTGGAGTGTTACGGGGTTTGATGAGGGATGCTTGCTTTCCCTGCTTGCTTGCCTGGGTGCTCTTCGGTGTTTGTCTTCTTAATTTTAGCGATTTCTCTGTGATACCCTCGAAGATGTTGGCCCATCCCAAGCCAGTGGAATTCATAGAACAATGTCATTATGTCATTTCCCATCGGGGATGGGCGATGATGGTTTATCATTGCTTAGGGAAATGGTGAGAGGTAGAAGCAGCGCTAGTAGGTCTTCATGCACTGCTCGACCACGCCAGAGACCAATACGTGAACCGACGACCAGTCTTCGGACTGCTGTTGGACAGTGGCTAGTTTAGTTTGGTGACGATCGGAAGGAAGGAAGGTGAGCGAGCGAGCGAGTGATTGTGAGTCATGGAAGGGATTGGGGGAAAGAGTAGTAGTTTGTTGCGGTGAGGCTGGGATGGGCTTTGCTTCCATTGCTACCTGATCTTCTTTTCCTGCTCGCCCCGCAGTCGAACACGTCGACACCCTCAACCGACGGTCAACCGCATGGTCGCGCTCCATGCGCCAGCTTACTTTCTTTTCTTCGTCTATCCCGAATTCCGGTCACCAATAGTCCTCATCTATCCCTTCCGTATTCTCGCGGTTGGTCGAGGAGACTAGCATGGACCAGGTGGTGCCCCGCCGCTCAAGGTCACCCTACAGCTGCACACGGACGAATGATGTCAAACTCTCTAGCAGGAAGCGTTGTCTGAGAGGTATCTCTAGCAAATAATGGGCGGTGGACATGTGGCATTCGACTGCCTTACCCATGGCATGGGTCGCTTAGTTGTCGCGCGATATACCCACCCTCCTCTAGTCTGGCTCTCTGGTCATCCCGGATGATATGCCGAGCAGTCCAACAAACAACCCGAATGATGTCTATAAAGACCCTGGCAGCTCTCGCGCCGGCTGCCGGCGATTTTATGCTCGTTATTATCTCCTACTAAACTCAATTTACATACATACATACATAACTTTCAGAACTACAACTCCATTCCAAGACCCTTGCCATCGATCTAAGTATTATGTTACTACTGTCCATTGCTCGTTGCTCGTGCCCTACTCTCTAAAGTCGAAACCAGCGATTATGGATTCCAGCGTCCCGGAATTGCACCCAGCAATCATTCAGTCCGATCTGCTCCTCCCCATCACCGACCCCGTCCCCAAGTGTACGACCCTCAACCGCTCTATCTCGTAGGTCAGCCAGAAGCAATTACAGCCACTGAAAGAGCATCCTTGCCGAAAGTCAAGATGACCGCGTTTAACGTCAAAGATCTGGCTGCGCGTGCTGCCCAGCGCCTCGCGGAACACCGCCAAAAGAGCGAGGCCCGTGGCAGCACTTTCAGCACGGAGCCACTGCCAATGGACCGTGTCTCGAGTCTGGACACCAATTCAATGAGAACCATGTCACATAGCGAAGACGAACACCGCCACAAGTCGAAGATGAGTCGGCTTGTGCAGAAGGTTCGAGGGCGGTTCTCGAAGCGTCTTGCGAAGAGGGAGGTAATCGACGAGTAAGTATCCCATTGAGATATTCCATCCAAGCCTTTGCTTCTGATGATAGCGCTAACTTACTCTATAGACCCTGCGCATGCTGCTTGGATATTATGCCTGCGGAATGCCTGATCAGCATGCCGTGTCAGCACAAGTACTGCAGCAGATGCTTGAAGAAGTTGGTGTTCACAGTTATGCCGGAGGAAGGACTGTTCCCACCCAGATGCTGCAAGCAGAAGATCCCAACGGAGGTCATCCTCCCGGTGCTGACACCGAAGGAGAGGACGGTCTATTTCGCCAAGGTGCAGGAGTATGCGACCCCAGCCAGAGAACGCTGGTACTGTCCTGCGCCGACGTGCGGCCGGTTCATCCCACCGAAGCATCTGAACAGCAAGCTCTCGTCTCAAAGCTGCCCATACTGCAGCACGACGTTCTGCTCTGGCTGCAGATGCCCGGAGTACAATAATAGTACTTCGACTGGGAAGAACGATCCGGGCTTTATGGCCGTCTTCGAAGATCCGCGACTCGGTAAAGCACAGAGGGGTCTCAAATGTGGCTCTTTGGTGGACCTCTTGTTCAATTGTGATCACGTTACGTGTCGGTGCAAGGCACAAGTCTGGTATGTTTACCCTCGCTGCCCACACAAACTGTATCAGGATATTCTAACAGTCAAACAGTAACCTCTGTCGCAATCCATGGCTATCGTGCACTTGCGCCAAACCAGGCCAACGCCCCATCGACTTCCTCACCTTTATCATCGGCCACAGCGGCGTGAACAAAGACCAGGAGGCCGAACTCGCCGCAGTGGTGGCTGCCATCCTATGCAACGAAAGGTTGCGGGATGAAGAATTGGCAAAGACCCAAAGCGGCATGAAGGAAAAGGCGGGAAGCGCTAACAGAAGTCGGGCAAGTCTGCTGATACCGCAGCAGGCGACTCGGGCTAGGAGGGTTTCCTAGGCCTTGAGTATTGGGTGGATAGGAACCAGATTGATTATTTTATCTCCAACTTGAAGGGAGGCTTTCTGTTTTTCGAAAATGTATCCTGGCGGCACACTCCTTAACCTTTCCTTTGTCTAGTCGTGTTCAATTAGCGTGTTATGATTATGAGAATGAATTATTGACTCTATATGATGTTGTTGTCCGATTTGTAAGCGTATGAGGAATAGTTAGTACTATATGAGTCGTGACTTGTGCCTGGTACAAGTGTTGCTGAGACACCTTAGTGGTAATTTATGTCTGGGTGTACAACGTTAATGCTGTGTGCTGTCTTTGCTGCATGCAGCGTGACTACTTCTCGGTCACCAGTATTTAGATGTACATGCGATCCGAATCAGTCATTAGCAAGACACCCCAAACCGGGGTACATAATATTCTAAGACATCACAGCATATAAGGGAGGGATATCGCAACGTTCGCTTGGATAGATACAGAGTTGATTGGATCAGTCAATGAATTAATAGTCGTAGAAGCCCTTTCCAGTCTTCTTGCCCAGCCACCCAGCATCAACCATACGCTTCAACAGCCCGGATGGCCGGTACTTACTATCACCAGTCTCCTGATGCAAGACATTCATGATAGCGAGACAAGTATCCAGACCGATGAAGTCCGCCAGCACCAACGGTCCCATAGGCACATTTGTGCCCGTCTTCATGATGTTATCAATATCCTCACGACCACCAACGCCCGTCTCTAGACAGATGATCGCCTCATTGATATACGGCATGAGGATCCGGTTCGCCAGGAAACCAGGCGAGTCCGCAGAAACAGAAGCGACCTTGCCCATACGCTGGACGAAAGCGATAGCGGTATCCTTTGTTTCCTGGGAGGTTTGCAAGCCAGCGATGATCTCCACGCCCTTTTGTACGGGGACCGGGTTCATGAAGTGCGTGGAGATGACGCGCGAGGGGGCCTGCAGGTCCCTGGGGTCTGTTGTGGTGGCGGCTGCGATCTTGGTGATGGAGATAGAGGAGGTGTTGGTCGCGAGGATGGCGTGTTTAGGGGCGATCTGGGCGAGTTTTGAGAAGATAGAGGTCTTGAGGTCAGGGATCTCGGGGACGGCTTCGATGACGAAGTCGACGGTGGAGAGGTCGTCCATTTTCAGGCTCGTGGTGATGCGCGCCCGAGCGGCGTCGGCGGCGTCCCGGGTGAGACGTTCTTTGGATACATCTTTGTCGAGGAGTTTGTCTGGAGGAGTGAAGTGGTTTAGTTTGATGGGGCTGGGATGGTGGTGAGGGGGTGCTACGTACCGGCAAACTTGAGTCCCTTGTCGATGGAAGCTTGGGACTTGTCGATAAGGGTCACTGGGACTTGGGCTTTCTGGGCAGCTACTAGAGCAATTCCTAATCCCTATAGGATATTAGTTGCGTTAGGCTTTTATATACTTGAGCCAACACCGTATTGTCAGGGTCACTAACCATCTGCCCAGCTCCTATCACACCCAGCGACTTAACCTCGGCAGCATGGACGGCGGGCGAGGTGCTGAAGGCCCGCGAGGCCATTGAGGGGCCCCGGTGGCAGAGAGAGCGCAATGATGAAGATAGCATATTGTATACTTGGGTACGGAGACTCTCGATACAGGATACGGAGCAGATCTAGCAAAGAGGGGAAGTAATAACCCGATAGTAAATAGAGGGCCGCACGGAGATGCATCGGGCCTCGGCCAATCTCATGTGATCCGACGTCATCGGCTACCCGCGGCTTTCTCGGCTGATTCGTTTATCCGGGATTTCCAAAGGCGGTGACACGTCGACGCGTGAGATACGCGCCATTATTGGTTGATGGCCAATTTAGAGGTGCGCGCGCAGGATCACCAAGCAGAGCATGATAGTGAGAAGGAGGAATGATACAAGGTGTGCAAGCACAGCATGGAGAACGAAGAACCAGTGCTGTCTGCACCGGACGTGCAGGTAGTGGACCCCGATGTCCGCGCCCATGTCTATAGTCTCGTCACTGCCGTGAGTAAACCCCCTTCCAGGACTGAACAATAGGATAGGAACATAGCTGATTATTCGCTCATAGTTGGGTGGTTTCAATGGCGAAGATGCAGACAAGTATGTGCTGGGAGATGACGCTCTGGCTTGTCTCCGGGATATTAAACGCTGGCTGAAGCTATACGATGAGAAACACAACCGGATGGATGTGGCACGGTGCTTGGGAGAAGCCAATCTTGTTAACGGAGATTTGCTACCCATCCTGGCAGTCTGGGCGAGCAGCAAGAAACAAACCAAATACATGTCTAGGATCGCATTGGCATGCTGTAAGTGACACTATGTGCTACAGTTCTTTGCGACGATATCTAACAGAGAGCAGTAGAGCTGCTGGTCCCTTTGACATGGCCGGTAGAACTACACGGGGAATTGACAATCAACCATCATCGGCATATACCATACATACAACATGTCCACGTTTCATACAAGCGAGGCCTACTAAGTCATGCTAGCACCAGCTACCTTCGAACTATTATCCGCGTCGGCATTCCGAGCATGGCCATCCCGCGATCCGAGCGAACGACCCGCGACGAAGGCATCCTCAAATTACTCCTTTATCTCCTCCGGAATATTGCTTTGATAACCCCAAATACTCGTCTCGCGGCGGAAGGCGACGAGGAGGAAACCTCGAGATCCGCAACAATCAACGCCTTCCAAGATCAAGATGTCTTCGCTCTCCTTCTGACTATGTGCTCCAACGTTGGCGACGACTTCACCATGCAAGATGTTGCTCTTCTGGAGATATTGTTTCATCTGATAAGGGGTGTTAATGTGGAGAAGCTATTTATGGATGATGAGCAACGGACAGCGAAACGGACGGACGAGCTAGACGACCTGCTGCGCCAGGAGTCGTCTTTGCGGAGAGAATACGCGAAGAACGCACCAACTCGACATGGACGCTTTGGAACCATGATCTGGGTCAAGCGTGATGACGCCAAGTATTCGACCGTCTCAGGGCAGAACGTGCTCAAAGACAGCCAGGCGACCCTTCAAAAGATGGACGAGACCAAGAAGTGGAACAAGCCACTAATCCGGCGAAAGCCACAAGATTTGACTGTGCACAATGACTTCAGCACTCCGGTCCACCTAAACTCGACTGCCTCCAACAATCTGCGGATGTTCGTGGAAGAGTTCCTAGACTCAGGCTTCAATCCCCTTCTTACTCATGTACGGAAGGCAATCGAACGTGAAGCAGACCGTGTCATGGACATCAATACGCGCCAGTTTCTCTACACTACTGCCTGGTTTCTCGAAGCGGAGCGCGCACGTCGGGCACGCCAACGCAAGAAGCATGCAGAGAGCGAAAAGCCGGCTAAGGAGCTGGAACCCGATAGCTTTGGTCTAGTTGCGGGCGTTTTGAATCAAGAAACGTTCGTCTTCTTGAATCGCGCTATGCAGTATGCGCTGGATAACAAGGACTGGGAAGATCTCAACGCTGGAATGCGCTGCTTCACCCAGATCTTGTTGACCGTGCAGGACATGGCCCAGTCTCCGCTCGAAGAAGACCAAGAGATCGCTGAAAACATCCAAAATCGTATCTTTTACGAAGAGACCACCCATGACCGCGTCCTCGCTCTTATTCGTGGATACAAGGATCAACCGTTTGGGTATCTGGATGCGTGCACTGAACTCACTCACGTCTTCTTGCGAATGTTGGAGCGTTATTCGAAGGAGAACCTCGATATGCAAGTACGATCTCGGCGACGTGCCAGACGCAAAGCCAAGGATGTAGAAGGTGCTGGTAATGACGAGAATGATGAAGAGAATGGCTCCGAAGATGAAGATCGCATGGAAGCAGAACGAGTGTCCAAGGAGCGCAAGTTCGATTTCAGACGGTTTGCCGCCAAGTTCTGCAATCAGAAATGCGTTGACACCTTTGTTGCTTTCACCAAGCACTACAAGGAGTTGAACACTGAGCAGCTAAAACGTGCCCACCGTTACTTTTACAGGATTGCTTTCAAGCAAGAACTCAGTGTTCTGCTATTCCGACTCGATATCATCAACCTCTTCTACCGGATGATTAAAGGCCCAGGCGCCTTGGATTCGAGTAAACCGATCTTCAAAGAATGGGAAGAATTCGTGCGCCAGATTATCCGGCGATTGACAAAGAGGCTCGACCAACGGCCTGCCCTGTTCGTGGAGCTGCTGTTCAGTAAGATCAACGCGACTACATTCTACCTCGAATATGGTCACGAGCGGCAGACAGTCACCCGTGCCAGGAAGGCTCCAGCAGAACTAGAGATCGACCCTCGACAGGCTCATACAATTGAAGAGAAAATCAGCATCATGGTGCCTGCATTGGTCTTGGATGGGGAGGAAGATCTGGTCAGTTGGGTCAGCGATGTGTTGGGGTCGGCAGTGGAAGAGAGAGAGGCTTGGGAAGCCCAGGAGAAGGCCCTGCGCGAGGCGGGTGCGGAGAGTTCCAGAATGCCCAATCCTATGATTTGTACGGTTTTATTCTCTCATATATGAACTGGAAACTAACATTTCTGCAGCTGTGAAAGCGCGCGACGATGCATGCCAGCAGGCCATGTTCTCCAACGCGAAGCTCCGTCTTCTGATGACATTGGTCAAGTTTGAACGACTTGGTGCAGAGGACGTGCCTGGAGCAGCCTGGGTCATTCCTTCTGCTCCAAAGGCCCAGGATCTCAGAGAGATGAAGTCATTTATCGACAAATACTTCGAGAAAGCTAAGCGAGGGACACTTGGACGGGACCCCCGTGAGCTGATCCGACGGAAATACGGTGGTGGAAAGAAGTCATCAGACAACCAGTACAACCCCGATATTCAATTTGGGGACGATTCCGAGGGCGAGGACGAGGTACCAGACGGGCCCTTGTTCCCGCCGAACCCTCGGGCAGCGCCAAATCCAGCCAAAAAACCAACGAAGAAGAAAAAGCGCAAAGAACGTGACCCGGATGATGAGGATGAGGACGACTCCGTGGATGAGGAGACATTGGAGGAGCGTCGCCGGGCGCGCTTGGAAAATAGTCGAGCTCGTCTTGCCAAGATCAAGAGTGATCTGTATGTGCACGCGAGTGACGAAGACACCGACGAAGAAGGAGACAAGGAGTTCTTCCTCCTGGAGGAGCAGAGACGTAAAGAACAAGCCCAGCGTATCAAGCATGCACTACTTACCGGCATGACCGAGGACGGAGACGGTTCAACCAATAAGAAAGGTCAACGCAAGCGCCAAACCAATCGCACCCGGACAGGTGAAGCCAAGAGCAAGCGGCAACGACGCGGGAAGCAGACTGACGAAGTGGACGAAGATGATGATGTCGTGATGGGGAACATGGATGCCCCATTGCCTATGTCGGAAAAAGAGGGCACGCCATCTGAGGAGGCGGACGATGGCTTCAATTTCGATGACGATTTGGTATTCAGTCGGGATCGAGAGAAGCTTTTGGGTTCTGCTGGGAATGCAGACCAGGACTCGAACAAGCCTGATGAAGCAATGGCGCAGGACGAAGACGATGATGACGCACCGGTTGTAGCAGCAAATCGCAGACGCATGCGCGCGGGCTTCGTGGTGGATAGTGACTCGGAGTAGAACGGGTGTCTGCTCTATTTACTTTCATGGCATGATGACTTGATGCGGTGTTTGGTGTCGAGCATGAATATAGGCATTGTTTGAATTGGCATCTGTATGTATATGGATTAGCATGCATGGATAGACAATGCATACCCTTGGTTTACTGGGCAATAATGGAAAGTTCCTGCCCTCTGGTTTCAGAGATGGTGAAGCTGAGGGTCCTTCCAGTCCCCGGCTTTATCCATTCTCCTGAACTGTTCAAAAAGCATTATCGATGTGATATTTATAGTGAGAAAAAAAGGCTACAGCGAAGTTGCATGAGTGCATGTCCTCAACGCTATTGCGCCCTAACTGTTCCTTACATTTAGGAGTCAAGCTGTATTTGCTTACCAGTGAGCTAAGCATCACACCTAAATGCGTCTTGGATGCTGATGAGGATATTGCCTCCGTGATCACGGGATCGATACGTGAATTCGAAGACAATATATCCCGTGTCTAAGTGAATACAGTGGCGACGCGCGTTCCTATTCCTATTTCAAGCTATTTGTTATAGTTCGCTTGAAACTCATAACACAGTAAGCCATTTTCTATGCTTTGCAGTGCAGATGATGCTGGTCTTCAGCACTCTTGAATCACACTTCTCACCTTCCCAAGATCCAGCGCCATACTAAATCCATGATGCCTGATCGGGTAACTCGCAGATCCCTTCTTGCCAGTTCTCTTCAAGTTCTCAAGTGTGCATTCAAAAGTCGACGTAGCCTCTCAGGCAACACGAACACTGAAGCCAGCCACAGCAACCGCACCCAGGACACAATCAACGATTTGACCTGTCCTCCTCCAAATACCCCCCAATCACCAATGTCTGCCACAGGAACCAGCTCATCAGCATCTACACCAACCAAGAAGCTCCGTTCCGTACGTGGAGAACGAATCAAGCGAGCAGTGATGCTATCTTCAGACACAACAGACGCTGGAAAGCCTTCCACTCAAGCCGAGGAGGAAGGACAAGGACATCTTGGAGACTGCAATGAAGAATTGATCTCCGTATCCCAGAAGGAGGAGGAAAGACAACCTCTGATCCTGCATGAGACCTCGTTCCCTGTCTCTCATCAGGCTACGGGTGAAAAGGCTCACTATGCCAATTTTTCTAGACTTCCCACTCCTGTCAAGCCACCGACGTCAAATCTGTATTCGCATGAGATGTACCAGCATGAAGGAAGACGGAGTGTGCTTTCCTCTTTGGGGGCACCTCATACTGCTGGAAAACGGTATGGCGGAGGGGATCTGAAGTCCGGTTCATCAGAGGATAGTCCTGGAGTATGCAGCAGAAGCAACAGCATGCATGATGGCAATACAAAGGCATCGGAGCAGAAACCATCAGGCTTACCACTCCCGCAGCGAGGCCACAGCAGTGAGCGAGTCCAGCTGAGAAGAACAAATGTACTTCCGGCTTCAACGCGCGACCATGGCAGCAGCAAGCCAGACAATGCCCGCAAGTCGCTTCCAGTGATGGTTACCGGTCGACCGTCAAATCGGGTATTGAGCCGGAAGGAGTTGTTCCATAGTAGAGCCGAGATGGAGGCAGATCCAAACTCAAGCTCAAGCTCAGATCCTATGAGAACCCATGCAGCAGATGCGCCCCGGTCATGCCCAGGAGAGCACCACACAGACGGCCAGCAGTTCTTGCGGTTGATACCGATTGAGGACAATATTGGTCTTGGCTTGCAAATTCAGGCACGCGATCATCATTCAGATGCAACGCCCACATCCGAAGCAGAGTTGACGAGATCGAGTCTAAGGGCACTGCCGAGGCGGGTTCGGTTAACGAATAAATTCGAGAACCTGCGGGCACAGAATGAGAATAAGGAGAAGAAGGAGGAGAAGCATCCTGGAGAAGCAGCAGCGCAGTCTTTTCTAAAATTGAACTGACCGAGCAACTCCATCGACTCGCCCACTTCTCTCTCTTTGTGAGGTGCTGTAAGGTCTGTCCGGCTTGCACAATGAAGCCTCCAAGCATGTATTAAGCGGAGGTACAAATGAGATAGGTTTAATATGAATGAATTACAATGCAAACCGAATATTTAGCTTTCCCTATCCTCCAATAGATACAGACTAAATAATTTCATTGATGGGGACGAAGTAGGGATTGCAATGGATGGCCTGCCTTAGGCATGAATCGAGTGAATCCGGGAAGATTGCCGAGTGGATCTCTTCCAAGTGAGCAGTGGAGTCCATCCACTCCATCAATCTATCTAGTTAGCAGCTAGGGTTCCAGACATGGAGCTATTATTCAGGGTTTCACCTCACTAGAGCATCAGGTTTCTCGTGTTAGTTTTCTCTACTCATCTTCTAGTTTCTCCTACAACAGTCGCAGGTCTTCTTTAATATTCGTGAATCTTGTCCCAATGTCGTCCGAACATAAGACGGCATCGAGGATCCTGAGCTTCCCAGTTGAAGTGTTACATTTGGTCTTCGAGCTACTTTCGCTGGCTGAACTGCGTGCGCTTAGCCTTGTCAATAAAGAGCTGCGCACTCAAGTTGAGCCATTCCTCTACGAAAACATCCACTGGCTTTGGCAGGAAGCTCCTTCGCCTCCCCCGATCACTCAACTCTTACGCACAATCTCATGCAGGCCACATTTGGCTGCATACATCACAAATGTTTACTTAGACGGCATGCGTATCAGAGGTCGGAATATTGCAAGCTCTCTTTACACTATTCCCATTTCCAACTCCGAGTTGACCGAATACACTGCATTCGTCCAGGGAACTGGAGTACCCTACAGCGACCTCTGGATACGCGAATTACATCAGGGCACTATTGATGCTCTTCTTGCCCTTCTGGTAGCACAGCTTTCGAATCTCAGGAGCTTGTATCTTGGCCCGATTTTCACTAGAGAAAGTCGGCTTGTCGGGATGGTTCTCAACTCAGCCCTATGTAGACCTAAGACGTACAGGCTACCTACCTTTCAACATCTCCGGGATGTGTCTTTCCACCGCGTCGTGGGAGACGACGGCACAAAGCCCAAAGTGACCCCCCGAGATAGAAGCGAGAACACCGCCAATGTCTTACCATTGTTTTATCTTCCGAACGTCCAAAGCATGTCCGTCACTGTCGAAAACCCGGATGAATTCACATGGCCTGCAGCGCACTTACCCGAGCCTTCCAATCTTACCTCGCTTGATTTGACCGCTGTACGAGAAACCTATCTCGGTGACTTGCTGTCAGTCACGCCAAACCTCAAAACCCTTCGCTGGGCCTGGTATTACGACTATGGCGTCGAGGATGACTTCGTTTCGCCTATCGTCAACCTTGAGAGGGTCGCGGCCGCGTTATGTCATGTTCGAAGTACTCTAACGGATTTAACAATCACAGCTGATGCCCCAATTGGAGGCAATGAGCAGTTTTATCCCGCTGTCAAGATGGAGGGCTCGCTGCATGCCCTCAATAATCTCGACGAGCTCAAGAGACTTCGGATTCCCCTGGCATTCCTCGTAGGGTTTGTCGAAGACACAACAAAGAGATTGCAGGATGTTGTCCCAAGGAATATCGAATTCTTAGCCATTACGGACGAGTTAAGCCTACAGAATGACGACGGAGATTATAATAGTGATTGGCCGATCTATGAATGGACGGATTCTGCCGTTCTGACCTTGCTTCGGACATGGCTGAGGGATTGGAGATCCTGTACGCCTCATCTTCGTGGAATATCTATCTTGTTTGACTATATAGAGACAAACAGTGGTGAATGGCCCCCAGAATTGAGACACCAAGTCACGGAGCTAGGTGCTCAAGCTGGAGTCTCCCTCGACTTAGTCGAATGGAAACGCGAGTGGTAAACTTTATCTTACATCCAGAGCCACTAGGTCATATGGCTCAAAGCCACCCAAAATTATGACCATTAATCCTTATTTCTTGCTGTTGCTGCTCGTATCAGGAGAGTAGCATAACTGGATCTGGCTCCTCTTCTCTATGCCACCCGCAATCTCACTCAGACTGAACTCTTTGAACTCTTTGTTGGCATCTACGACTTCAATGCCGTACTCCTGAACGAATGTGCTGCATCCGAATTTCTCCTATGAACAGGTCGATTAGCACCGAGCCAACAGAGTTCTAGGAAGGAGTCGAAGGGTAATAATGCATCCACTCACTCCTTTATTATCCGTACAAGGATCAGTCATTTTACCTCCCACAATAGTAGCAACCCTTGGCTTTTGGGAACTTAAAGACTTGCCCGGATGCACCAAGTAGTACAAATGAGCCGCCATTTCCTCACCACACTTGCCCTAATTTTTATGGATTGACTCTTTCCCAAAATCCCTCCGCCAAGTAACCTGACACCGCTCCAGAGCCTTAGCAACAGGGGTATCCGTATAATAATACGAGAACGACTCGCCTTTCTGCGACGAAGCGAGTATGAGTTCGTGATCGAATGCAAGGACCGTCATAGCTTTGCTTCTCTGCCTCTTAGGGATCCCGTAAGCTTCCTGGTTTGCTTGCATCTCATTGTATCCTGTGAGTGCGATCTGCCAAAGCTGCTCATCCTCGATACCATTCGTCTCATCGTTGACTAGTCCCTTGAACTTGAGATGGCTGCTGAAGACCCAATTTCGGATGACCGTTGAGTCCTTTGGATCCACGTTTGGCCAGGTCCTTGCGAAGTTGAGGTCAAGTTTGATGCCTAGGGCTGTGTCACCTTCTTTTGCGTAGTCTTTTTCGCCATCGTTGATGTCGTAGGCTGCGTTAACTAAAGAATTGAATGCGAAGAGGAAGAGTAGGAGGAAATGGGAGAGGCGGGGAATTGGTATCCCTCTCTTAATTTCCTGTTTGGAGGTATCTCGGTCAACGAGGAAACTTGATGGTGAGAGAGGTGTTTTCCTACTTGAAATTTCATGATAATCGGATTTTGAATCAGAACCTTTGAATCTACAAATGCATTTAATCATGGAATTCTAGCAATCCGTGTAGTTTTAAACCACCTACAGTACTTTCGCTACACCTGCCTGTTCTCATCGTAGAAGACTCATCTCTACGCTACAATAGGCTAACTTCTACTGCAGTAGTATAGGCCCCATAGCCATCAAATCTTGCAGAAATTTCTTCACACTAGCAATGTACGATAGCTTGCTTGCTGGGGCTATACAGGGCGGAGTTACTCGGAAGCGTTGTACTTTGGCGCATATCGTAGTAATTGATCATTTCCGGTTGAAACTAGCGCAGCGTCGACCCAGGCAGTGGAATATCTAGGGATGAGCCTCAAATGAGGAAGATTAGGGTTAACTGAATAAGCCATATAATGTAACCATGCCGAGTAGAAGCACTCGAGGCATACGGTAGTAGCTTTTGTCGCAAAGCTTCAACATCCGAGGCTCGATTGCCATTGGAAACCATGAAGAGTTACCTAATCTGAGTCACTACTTTGATCTCCAATCTTAAGGGTCCCATTCATCTTGAGATAATTGACTGTGCTAACCCAGTAATGGTTAATGGATACCTCCAGACACGGCCTCTGAGAGGACAAACGGAGAGACAAATCACTATATCGCAGGGATATTGGATCCACTTTTAAGATTTCCCTACGCTACTAAGTATTTTCTGTAGACGGTGGATCATCAAGAACTGTCTGATAGGGGTTACTTGGACCCTATGCGCTAAGGCAGTTCGCCATAGTAGTGCTGGAATTACAGTCCTTGGCATCCGATGAGATTAGCTGGATGGACATGGAGTCTAGGGCAGCGCTAGTTCAGGAACTGGACTGTCAATAAGAACTAGATTAAACTATCGATTCTGTGTTTTACCTTGTCCGTGGACCCTGAATTGCTATCAAGTGGGACTGCACAAGCTTCGGCCCTGTCAGAGTCGCGGAAATTTTCACCACATGTGGGTTCTAATCTCGGGTCCTTTTCGGGAATACCTCTCCCATGATTCAACCAGTCTAATGTCTACATTGTGCAGAATCGTGCCCTGGACCCTCCGGAAGAAGTTTCCCATTATCTAATCTACCTACAGATTGCTTCAGCGGGTCTCGGGGGGTCTTTTGATGTCTAGTGGGCCCGTGGCATAGCAGATGATTTTTTTTGGCACTGTCACTAAATTCGTTGACCTATCTACAGCGTCTATGCATTAGACAATCGTCGATGCTTTCTCCCATGGCCATTAGATGATGCTATATAGTACCTGGTAAGAAAGAGGAAGGACAGGTCTGACAAGATTGGCAAGTTGGAAATCTCTGAAAGTCTGTGGACAGAACTAATGAACTTTACAAGCACCGCAAGAGTACCTGATACTATGTCTTTCCATTGGTAATCTCATATATAGTTGTGTCTCAGTTGAGCAGCCAGCACCAACCCAGCTTGATAGCTTCGAGATCGGTGAACCGAAACAATGACAATGTCCATCGTCCACCAAGCACCCCATCGAACTACTACACTGCACTATACGGCCGGTGGACCTTTGGCTCCTCAGTATATCTCGCCAGACCTTCCAAGATGTGAGGACAGCACCGTAGAAGAGTGGTCTTCCTCTCGTGGTAGAAGATGGGATGTGAAAGTTCACCAGCGCACCATACAACTCGACTAGGTCATGGCCCATATAATGAGTTATTAGAAGTCCCTTTATGCCATTGTAAGATTCAAATAGTTTAAATATCTGTGAAGTTTCTTTTTTTCTTCTTTTCTTTTCTTCTTTCCCACCCCCTACCCTGCCTAGCTTCTTTATCTGCAATGCACACGCAACCATGGCATGGCCTAGCGGCCATTGCTACCATCGGCAGTTGCGTTATTGCAAGTCCTCTTGCACCCTGGGAACTGCGTGGAAATGCAAGCATGCAATCTGCACACTTGATGGGCATAAGAGATACAGACGAATTTGATCCGGCCGAACTTTCTCACATAACAAAGCTGGCTGCTATCGGCGACTCCTATTCGGCCGGAATAGGTGCTGGAAGTCGACTTGGAAATATTGGCGAAGCACTCAACTCGAAGAGTAGTAAGTTGGTTCCTTGATTTCAAAGCTGTTTTCGAACCGTGAACTGATGGGTCTGTCAAAAATACACAGATTGGGCTTGCAGTCGTTATGATCAGGCGTATCCTGTTCTTGTTAATAATGATGAACGTCTGGGAGATCCAGCAACAAGAACCTTTCAATTCGAATCTTGCTCTGGTGCAGTCATCTCCGATGTCATCAACGACCAGATCCCTAATCTCAATGGGGACCAGCAAGTCATCTTGCTATCAGCCGGTATGGCCAGACGTCGTCTATCTATCTCCCTTTTCTTTCTGCACATCCAACTAACATCTATATTGCCCTAGGCGGTAACGATGCTGAACTCTCCACCATCCTGAATCAGTGCATTTATCAATGGGCGGTATTGAACCCCGCCCAGGTCTTAGTAGCCAAGGCCGCTGCTCTTGCCAACTTGGAATATGGTTGGATGGCGGATATCGATTGGGATGCATTGGCCCGTGGCTGCGATGGGCAGCTGGAACATACAAATCGTCTCATTAATGGAGATGCCTTCAGCAAGAGCTTGGACAACGTCATTGCGGCGGCAAAGAAAAAGCTAGGATCAAAATGAGTACCAGCAATACCCTAATTCAGAAGCTTGATTCTAACTGTAAGGCAGTGGTATGATCTACTACACGGGGTGAGATGCCATGTTGTTTCATCGTCCCCAGCAGTCACTAAGAAGCGTGATGCAGTTATGCCAAATTCTGGGCCGAAGATCTATCACCTGCGTGCGATAAGGTTAGCTGGTCAACCTGGATTCATGTGAGTGAAACCCAATATCTTCTCCAGTAATAGCCAGAGAGATACTGATTGCCCATGACAGAATCTGTACAACCTATTTCAGGATACAGAGACACTGACAAGTGCTCATCGCAAAACAATGAATGATCTTGTGGACTCCGTCAATGAGAAGATTGTTTGTTTTTCCACCCACCCCTTGTCGGGTAAAGCTGATGCTAATTTTCTATTTCTGCAGTCGTCTGCAGTAGAAAGAGCTGGCGCGCAGGTCAAATTTGTCGATTATGACTCTTATGTTGGCTATTTCAACGGCCGATTTTGTGGAGCCGGTGTCGATGAATCGACGTCAGATAGCAACACAAGGTGGGTGCTCAAAGTCCACCATGAATGGAAAATAGCCTAGCCATCGGGTAGACTGACATGACATACAGAGAGGGTCTAATGTTCTACGAGCTAAACACATGGGATCCCCTCGGCTCTAATCCTCACAAACGAAGCCAAGACCGTCCCCTAGAGGGAACGTTTGAGGGGTCTGTGAATGAATATGCGGAGATTACCAAACTCCTCGATCCGGACGCTCAGTTTTCCAAACAGACCTCGGTGTCCGATGATACTACTGATATGACTCTTGTAGAGTCGAAATTATCTCTCAGTGCTGTGTCCGAATCTTCTGATATCGAAGTTCCGAATGTGCTGCCAGACGGGTAAGAAGCTCTTCGCCTTGTTCGTGGAACGTGTTGTTGATGGAATTCTGACAACCGAATCAACTTCTCATTCAGATATGGACGTGTTTTCCATCCCCAAATTCAGCTTCATGAGCTTATTGCCAATTTAGTCATCTATGAGATGACCAACAAGAATGAGTTGGACAATGGGTATCCAGAAATTCCAGAGAAATTCACTTTCGACTCATGCCCTTGGACACCTGCAGACGTCGACGATGACGAATCAATGGATGCAGGAGGCCAACAGATTGCTTTGGCACCGTACATCAATCCATTATCTGATCCCACTGCATGGACTCGGATGATCGACTACCCATCCGACAAGGTGACCGTTCTGGTTGCAAACGTCCTCAACGGACCGGATACGACTGTGGATGAGGATTGGGAGAAGGTCATCTCCCGGGCCAATGCAGCGGGTAAACGAGTTCTCGGCTATGTGCGCACAGGATATCTTGGCCTGAGCCAGGATCAATTCCAGACTCGATTGGGTTCGAGCGGTCTGGCCGACTGGGTCTCACAGATCCAGACCGATGTCGACTTGTGGTACACGTTATACCCTGGCATGATTGGCGGTATATTCTTTGACGAAGGGTGGAACCAATGTGGCGACGACAATGTATATTCAGATCTGTATCGCTTTATTACTGACTATACGAAGCGCATGCACCCGGGCGCCTTTACCGTCCTCAATCCCGGGGCTACAATGCCACAATGCTTCGAGCATAGGTATGTAGTATATACCCTTGCTTGATATTTAAGAAGATTTCGCTAACACTGTTCAACAGCGCCGACACACTCATGACTTTCGAGAACAGCTACGATACATACATGAACAACTACTCACCTAACCCTGACTGGACACCTAGCGATCCGCGGAAGCTCTGGCATATTATCTACAATGTCCCCTCAGACAGTGTGGGCAAGGTTGCTGAACTGGCCCTGGAGCGCGGAGCTGGCCTGATCCATATCACCAACGACAACCTCCCCAATCCGTACGATACCCTCCCTGATGATGACTGCATGCAGGTCATCATGAGCGCCCTTGAAGGTGGCAAACCGGCCATTTCCAGTCCCACCGCGTATGAAAAGAACGGCCAGTCTGCATCTGTTCCCAGTTCATTAGCAGTGACCGCCTCCGATTACTCCTCCGTGAGTCTAAGCTGGGGAGCTAGTTCCCCTGCTCCCCATGCGTACTCGATCTATCAGAATGGGAAAGAAGTGGCCCGTCTACCAGGCAGCATGACTAAGGTCACCATCGGCAACATCGATCACGCCACCTCCATTACCTTCACCGTGAGGGCTATCGGGTCTGGGGGGAGCGCATCGGGTGATTCAAACTCGGTCGAGGCAACGACGCTTGAGTTGCCGGACAACCAGCCCGTCACCAACGTGAAGAGCAGCTCGACCGCTACAAAAACTACGGTCCAGGCCGAAATCCTAATTCCCTTTGCTTTCCAACGCGTCTTCTTAACCGACCCGGACACCGCCTGCGAGATGCCGGCGTGGCCCATCAACTACAATCTCGGCAATTACATTTGCACACACTACATGGTTGAGAGCGGAACTCTGTTCAAATACAGTGGTGCCGAATTGCCGGCCGGACAGACCAATTATCCCTGGGCGTGGACCTCGATGGGCACTGTCCCCGTCTCTCGGAGTGGCTACACCTGGACGTGGGAGCTTCCCATCGGCTCTGATACTGTCGACACGAACTACTTTGTCGTTGAGGCACAGGGATATGGACCCCTGACCAATGTCTTCCATCCGTGCCCCAGTACCTGGGACGATGCCACCCTCAGCAGCGGAGCCTACTGCACGGGCAACTCACCGTACGATTGCAAAGGCGCGACGCTCTGCAGTACTTTGAATGTCAAGTGGTGCGACAAGGCTGTCAACCAGATGAATCGTGGCTCGACACTCTATACTGCCAACGCAGAGGCCCTCGCGCTGTCTGGTAACTGCTGGGCCAATTGGGAGCAGTTTGGTTGCTCGGTGAAGATCCGCGGTAAGGACGAGAACGGCAAGGACTGTACGATTACTGGCGATGAGATGTGGGAGGCCTATCAAGATATCCGCAAGATTGGGGGTTGCAAAAAGTGTGGCAGCAAACACTTTGGGAATGGCTGTCTGGTCAGCGTAGATTACTATTATGGATGTGATAATCGGGATTCTGGAGTAAACGCGATAGACGTTTGAAAAGCCGGAGTTGGTATAATAGGATTTGCTTGAATACATGCAACATATAGATTCAGATACAATTGACTTTTGATGTTCTACCTTATACTGTGGATATTTATGAATTGAACACTTCAAATAGTGCCAGGCTAGGCAGGCACGTATCAATTGTGACAATAGCCGACTTTTGGTGAATAGCTGCTTCCTAGTACTCAGGAAAGTGTCAAGTCAATGGCCCACAACCAGCTCGTAAGAGTGCATCACCTGGAGTTTTGCTATATTCATTCACCTCAATCCAGTCTTCTATTGTTGGTTGTTTTTGAAACAGCAATTGACAATGAACACAATTAATTGAGACAATGGGATTAATTGCACCCATTGCATCTACATGTAAGTGTGCCATGCTCCAGTGATATACCCACGCTACCTCCTCGCTCCATCTTTCGAATTCTCACACCACCATTTGATATCGAATATATCCGAGCCAACAAATCTCAGAACCATTTATTCTTTCCATTACCAGCAAGACCACCAACGATGTGATAGAGAAACAAACAAACGAGCAAACATATTCTCTGTGCTGACACTAAAAGGGCAGGTGAGAGTGACTGTAGTCCTTCTTCACTTCGGGTGATAAATGTTTACTGATCGATCCGTGGTTCGTTCACAGGGCAAGATAGCCCAGACACAACACGTTCCTTGACCAGAAGTACGGCATCAAATAACAATTCATCAACCAGAAAAATGAACCTTCATCAATCGAAAGTATCAATATGACCCAGATAATCACAAGAGCCATCAAAAACCATATTCAATTCAAGTAATCCTATCCCCAATACCTCCAAAAGCTACACCTCCACCACCAACCAAACATACACAACTATAAGAACTATACTATCAGAAATGCAACCTCGAGCCGAAGGCGAAGACCAACACGAAAGAGAAAGAGAAAGAGAAGCCCCAAGCACAAGCACAAGCACCACCCCCCGACCTCAAGCTCATTCCAACCCAGACACCACTCCCACCTCCACCACCACGCGCCGTCCGACCCCGTTTCCTTCACACCTCCCAAGACCTATCGTCCCTCACCCAGCGTCCAGCAGAGGAAGCAGAAGAAGAACCCTTCCACCACCACGGCCCGAACAACTAGCACGACCACTCCCACGTCACCGTCTCGACCCCCCCATCCCAACACGACTCCCCCAAAGAACCTCAACATCCACCACTATAGAACAGCCCGCACCACCACGTACACGCCTCGAACCAGTAACCACAGCCCAATCATACACATACTGGCTCGGACGACTAATGACCGTCCTCAACGCCATACTTTATGCAGACTTATTCGATGCACCGGATCCAGTGACGGGAATTCGTCCACCAAATGCGTTTTCGATGACCGTGTCAAGGCATGGGTATTCTCAGCGGGCAGCGGCTATTTCTGCGTTGGATAGGGGTGTTACGGGGAGATTTAGGAGGGCGTTTATGATGCTGGAGGATGCGTGTAAGACGGAAGACGCGAAGCGGAGTTATAGGGCGTTTGGGTTGGCGTTTGAAAAGGCTCATGGACCTTGTGGTCAGCGTTTTAGGGACTGATAACCTAGTTGTAGTTGGGTTGTTGTTTAGTTTGTTGTTGGTGGAGAGGCCGTGAGGTTGAGAGTTGTGTATTAGTATATATGATGCGTGGTGGTCTTGCTGTGCTTTGTGCTAGGGACGGACAGATAGTTACCATCATATCACTATTAATGATCCTTGTCTTTTTCATTTAGATTTCACAATTCCTTTTCTTCTATTTGGATTTTCCCAGCTATTATACAGTTTGTAAGACCCCACCTCACAATCGCATTTCTCCGAATTGGGTGGGTTATATATCATCAGTTTCATGAAAATACCCCGAGAAGCCAGAACGCCGAGCTGCCGTACCTCTATGCAACGCAAGAAGCCATAACTTTGCTATAATAGTATATTCCTTTTTCAGCCCCGTCAAACCATTTCAGCCAACACCTTTTTAGTGGGGGTTGATGAACCCTGATCTTTATTTGCGGCTCCTCAGGAACGCAGCCACCTGTTCATGCCTCGTCACAAAGAACATGCGCTTGCGATCCGACTTCCATGCCAGAACACCAATCTCCTCTGCATAGCGGCATGGGGCCTCGTATTCTGCCAGGCTGACAAAGTCCTTGAATAGGAATCCGGATGTAGCCTTGACACGGTCCCGCTCCAGCTGCCAGAGACGAATCTGGTCCACTACGGTGGGCGGGAGGACTGACGGGGGTATCCCGGCTTGATTCGACGTCGAGCGAGAGACATTGTGTTTGCGCATTTGCGGGTGGGCGTGAGTAGAGAGATAGGAGATGATTTGGTCGGCGGTGATGCCCATCTCGACGGCCCGGCGAACGGACTGGCGAGTGATTTTGCCGGTGATGAGGTTGGGGAAGCGGTATTTCAGTGTGGTGAACAGAGCAATCAGAGATATCTGTAGGGGAGATGAGGTATATGCGTATACACGGTAGTTGGTTTCGATGATGATAAAGCCCGTACCCGCTTTGCTGGAGGCTTCGCCGGCAGGACCGGAGAGGGAGCCCAAGAGCGGGTTGCTCAAGGCGCTAGAGTCGGATGTGAGCGTCGTTGCAAGACGGGTGGGGTAGAAACGCGGTGCATCGGGCGATTCTTGATAGACAATACCGAAGTCGGCAAGGTCGGTGAGCATGCGCAGTTGTTTCGAACTGAGGTGGTTCTTTTCGTATGATTTCCCGAGTTCGAGACTGCTGAGAAGGAACACGAATGAGAGGACCTCGACACTGTCCATCTTGATGGCGCTGGCGCTCTCGACGTAGAGAATCAATATGTGCCACACCTGCGTGCTGACATCCTGTAGGACAAAGGCGAAGCCATCCTGGGTGATTTCGACACGACGATCTCGGATCTCAACCAGATGACCCGCCTGCAGGAGCTCCTTCACGCCTTTGCTGAGGGTCACTTGGGGAGCTCCCATGCCTCCGGTACCGACCATGTATCCCAGCACTCCTTCCCACTGTCGTCGCGCATATTCATCGAGATCGGATATTGAGACTTCTGAGCCAGCAGGCACGTGTGAAAGGACGCCAAAGGATTGTGTCTGGTCGGCGCCGGTGAGGGCATGTCGCAATGAGGTGGCGAACGGGTCGGTGACTTTGTAGGCGCGGACGTTATCCGCTGTGACAGTGTTGGATAGGATATGCAGTCTTCCTAGGATGGAGAGCGCATTGTCGCGTTCTCTGTGTGAGGCTTGTGTTAATCACAATCACCGCGGAGACCATCCAGGGTGCTTGCCTAGCACTTACTTCAAGCTTTCTGATTTAACCCAAGCCTCCAGATCCGCCGCGGGAAGCGGATCCTTCAGGTAGAGAAGTGCCATGACAAAGCATTTTGCTAGTCATGCAGTCAGTTGATGAAGCACTGGGATGGTGAATGCACATGCGACACATACCCAGATCAGGCAGCATGCGCCTGAAAATGGCGAGAGCCGTCGATGGCTGCTGGTAGAGTTTGTAAAAGACAGTGCCAGCAAGGCTTTCGAGGTATTCAAAGGGACGAGAAGATGGTGCGGCAGCCATCTTGTCTGCAGGAGTCACCGCTGCAGCATGATGCGGCGGGAAAGAAATGGGGCGTTGGAGCTTGAAGCCAAAGAAAGAAGAAACCAACCAACGCCTGGGAGTTGAAAGTTGGAGACGACCGGCCCCAAAGCGGAGCTGCTCCGGCGCGCCAAACAGGCCCCAAGCGCAATGAAGCGGCCGCGGCCGATGATCTCACTTTAAACAATCATCTATCTATCTATCTACTTCGTAAGAAGCTTCACTCTCACCTCTACCCCAATTCCGTTTCAGCGAAAAAATGACTGCCTTGCGTTTTGTCCGCTCTGTGAGTTACTTACCTACCTAGTGCTGCACTACACTGAGAAATCATGGCTGTACTAACAATATATATTTGCAGGTTTGGGAGTCCTTTCGGGCTAATTCGGGGCTAGAGCCTCGGTAAGTCATACACTGGCAGACTGCTTTATTCATGCCTGTTCTGGGTTCAGCTTACTGACTGGACCTCAATGGAATTGGTGATCTAGTTTGCTAGACAACGTAAGTTTTTTATGCCGGGATGGCACAACCAGCGTCATCCAGAATTATCCTCAATGGATTCACGTTCAACTGAGGCTTCACTCCAAATCGGTCCCGGGGACACCCGTTGATACCGGCTAAATGCTTCGGAACTCTATACTAACAATGATTCCTATCGCACCCAGCTTCGTGTGACTGCTGCCAAACCTGGGTTGGTCAACTTTGAGCTCGATATTAAGAAGGAGCACACGGTAAGCCAGAATCCTGACACTGTTTACTTGGTGACTGACATTAACCAGAACCGCCTGAACATCCTCCATGGCGGCACCATCGCGAGCATGGGTAGGCCACATGCAAACACCGTCTCTCACTGAAAACGCCTCTGCTAACACCCAATGACACAAAGTGGACCTTGGTGGCTCCCTAGCTGTCGCTTCCCGTGGTCTGTTCGCGACCGGTGTCTCGACCGACCTGAATGGTGAGCAGACAGCAACTTCTACTTTACCCGAAGACCTCTAACAAATTATACAGTGACGTACCTCAGCTCTGGTGGTAAAGTAGGAGACAAGATCCTAGCAGTATGTTTTCCATGCTCTCACTCTCAATTTTCATGACAAAAGGGAGGAAAGGCATGTCCAGGCTAACCCGCTGCATGTGTAACAGGAAGTCAGCTGTGACAAATGTAAGTTCCCTGAACCCACCCGATAGGCTGCATGTACTTACACTTATCTGCAGTTGGCAAAACCCTTGCATACACGTCGATTAAGTTCGCCAACACCAAGGGTGAAGTCTTCGCCAGGGGAAGCCACACCAAGTAAGTATTCGCATACAAATACATATCTCTTCACTCATCGAAGGCATTGATTACTGATATTCTATCAGGTATGTCGCTCTTGCATGGAAAGACCCTCAAAACATCGTCGAGGAGATCAACAAGCTCGAGTCCGAGTCCTCATCATCTTAGGTAGTTACCATACATGTTTAGTGCGTCTGCTTAGGCGAGCTTATTGTTTGCTACTGCATCAACCACCGGCCTCTTCTTCGGCTGGGCAAGCTAGAGCCCATGGATTAGAATGGGGTATAGAGATCTTTTATGTATATAGAGCGGAACTACATAGCCAATTCTACAGGCTCTTCTTCTATAGTAATACTAATCCTGCTACCAGGCAAATTTACCGACGCACACGAAGTAGCAAAGAAATAGAAAGAAGCCTCATCACAACCATTCAGTCATTCAAATAAAAGCCCAGCCATCCAAGTCCATTCATGTATGGCTTTTCCTCAGGAATAGATAAAAATCGGGGTTCTCAGTAGTAAAAAAGAAGAGCATGTAGCATGCATACACACGTACAAAATGACCGGGCCAGGAGAGAAACAACAAGAACAAGAAGAAACAGATCACGCTTCAGTGAAAGTATGTTCGTGCAAAGGATCATCATCGCCCTCCTCCCCAGCCCCAAGCATGACTTCATCCTCATCCATCACAACCTCCTCGTCGCCTCCCATATCCATCTCATTGTTAACAGCGGTTTCTCCACCCATGGCCTTGAGCTTTGCCTGGGTCATCTCGAAAACATACTGGCCGAGATGTTCGACGCTTTCCATCGGAGTGCCCTGGACTTCGTCGTCCAGGGAGCGCGCAGAGGGGAACATCTCACCAGGGGCAAGCATGAGCTTGTCTGGGCGCTGGAAGAGTAAGTCGAATGCGGGCTTGAGCTCGTAGCATGACTCGAAGACCTCGCGACGACCGAGGATGTACAGACCAAGACGTGCACGGGAGAGTGCAACGGTCAGACGACGGACATCACGGAGGTAGCCGACGGTGCGGGTTCGGGTGAGGGAAAGAATAACGTCTGGGTTGAGGTACAAATCAGTACAAAGTCCTCTTCTACGGAGCGGGGTGTCTCTCTGGAAAAACTTACAGTCGTTTTGTTCACCTTGATACTTGTCCACCGTCGTGACGATCTTGGGCATGCCAAATAGTCCGTTCTTGGCACAGCGGTGATTCAAGACATCCTTGATCAATGCCGTTTGGCCTGCATACGTGGCAAGGATGGATATCTTGGAGGCTGGGTATCCAAGGAGGCGCATGTATTGGTAGATGGCAACGGCATACTCGGCCTCTCCCAGATTCTGGATGAAGTGGGGAGTGGGTTCACGTTCACCGGTGCCCTGGTAGTCAGGCACGTTGATAAACTGATATTCGTACTGGAAACCGGAGTTGGCTTGCTTGAACGCTGGCGCCGTCTCAACGGCAGGCAGGTTTCCAAGTTGCTGATAACGCCACCGGAAGAGTTCCGCAATGCTGGGTCTCGCGCGGCCCTGCTGGTCCAGTGTGATAACAGGAACGCCCAGCCTCACCAACCGGAGGAACAGACTTTGCTCAAAATGGGCGTATTGCCGGAAAGCCATGTTCTGAATGATGGGAGAATTCTGGAGGTGGTCACCGCAAAGGACTACTCGCTTCAGAGGAAGTTCGCCATTCTTCATGTTTTGCAGAGCAGCGGGGATGAAGCTCTCGATCTCCGTGATCTGAGCCGCCTCTTCCATGATCACATTGTCATAGTGGAAGCCGAGATCGGCGATTTCCTGGCGACGCATGGCAGCATGCGTTGATGTCATTGCGATAATTCTTGCCTCCTTCACAAGTAGATAGTTGGCCTTGTCCTTGGGCTGACGCAGGATTTCGAATGGACGGATGTCTTCCAGCTCGGAGAAGATTTTGTCAATGTGCCGCTGGCATCCCTCAGCCACGTCAAGGAGTGTCTCCTTTGTCGCTGTCGCATCAAAGACAGGTTGAGGCGCATTGGCAAAGTATGTATGGAACGGGAAGGCCGAGATGATCTCTTCGGTCGAAGCGCTTTCACTGCGAGCCTGATCCCAGAACTTGGCCCACGCAGGTTGGATGTAGACTGTGTTGAAATATCCGGCAGTTTCGCATGAATTGCCATGGGAACCTTGTGCTCCAATGGATGCTGCTAGCCGAATGACCTCGCCGAGGAAGTGATTGCGATTCTCAAGGAAAGATTCCACGCGTCCGTACTTGCTGTAGCTGGTTTCGGTCTCCAGCTCCTCTTCACCATGACCGAGACGGAGAAGATGACGTTCGTCAATATCCAACGCGACAATCTTCTGGAAAAGCTGGTTCAGTGCTTGATTGCTGTGCGCGATAAGTAGCGTGCGTTCATTGGGGAAATCATGATAGATGTTATTGATGATCTGCGTCGCAACATCCGTTTTCCCTGTTCCAGGAGGCCCGACGATAACGGTCAGCCCTGGTTGAGTGCCAGAAGCAATGGCTTCCACCTGCGCTGGGGTGAATCGAACGGTATTAAGTTTGGGCGCGTCAATTGGATACGGGCCTGGGTTGGGTGGCTTGTATGTCGAGACGCGAAGAGATTTGGGTCCTGCTTCTCTCTCGGCCTGTTCCCTCCGTCGCTTCTTCGACGTTTCCGCCGAAGGTGTCTTAGAAGGTTCTTCAACGTACTCAACTACGTACGGGGGACCAAAGCTTGATGCTTCCTCCTTGGATGGTTCTATGGTTGAACCGGGCAAGCTCTCAACGAGATGCTGCCAATCCAAGAATGTGTCCCGGAAATCAACTGAACGCAATCGGTTAGGCAGTTGTGTGTATTGAGCACCAGCCGGATCTCCGTAACCCAAGAAGATATCCTGAATCCAGGAGGGAAGGGTGATATCCGAGACAATGAGTTTCTGCATCGTCTCAAGAATGGACTTGAAGTTATTCTCTCGCCCCTTCCGTCTGGCTACCACGTTGATCAACGGGTATACATCCGGCTTTCCTCGCGTAAGGCCGTCTTTGTCTGCTTTGAAGGCAGCAGAGTCCAGGTTGACCAGTAACTTCCGCACACGCGGCCTATATCTGTGCCCGTTCGCTTGGCCTGACACAGGCTCGCGCAATGGACGACCGTTCTCATCAAGTACTTGCACAACCTCTGCTGTTCTAAGATACTTCAGGCCGGGGGTCTCAGGCTCTCGGAAGCCGGGCTTTCCTGCATCATCTGACTGCACAGCCAACAAGAAGACCACGTCATCTGGGCGAAGTGATTCCCACTCCATTCGGATGTGGTCGGCCAGTCTACCCACTTCGATAGCTATTTCAGCCCTGACGAACGCAGGTTTTGCCGAACCGACCTTGGGAGGTGCCACTTCGATGATGGCAGGCTTTGTAATGGGGATGGCCATCCTTGAGAAACCGTCGAAATTCAATGTCTTGCCGTCCCGGCTTGCACGAGGTTGCATGCGTTTGACGATCGACTCCATATCCTTGCGGATCTGGAAGAATGCCTCTGACCGATAGAGCAAGAAGGAGCGCCACAAAAAGTCACCGGTGCTAAGATACTGAAGGTTTAGCTTGGGAATCGCAAGTGGCCTGGATCCATCGTATGTCTCGTCGCGGAGCAAAGTAGGGTCATAGAGATTTTCCTCGGTAGGAACAATGCTGAGCTGGGAGGCAGCTTCCTGGAATGTCGTCTTCTTTTCATAAAAAGACAAGAGAACCTCCATGTACAGATGACGATCCGGCGTTATTTGAGACTGCTTCGGATAGTCTGTACGGAAACCAAGATG